GCACCACCATCAGCATCGCCATCGCTATCGTCACCTTCTGTCCCAGAGCCTGACAACTGTCCATACTTCTCTGTCAGCTGTTCAGTAGACGACTTGGGTTCAATTGGCCGCATTGCTACCTCCTCTGTCCCCCTTGGCTTCAGCTCATGAGAGCAAACGACGACAGGATGAAGCCTACAACCAGGTTGTCAATCTGGCCTTCTAATCTCAGCATCTGGAAGTTGACGGTCGAGACTGGCTTTCAGAAAGACCATGTAAGTGTGTGTGTGAATCGGCGTGGGCATGTTCATGTGCGTGTGCGTAGGTATGTGTGAGAGGGAGAGAGGAGTAGGACCGTGCCGGACGAAGTGGCAGAAGAAACGGAGTTCAGCAGAACAGGGACACTGTCGCGCAGAGGGTGTCTGTTTTTGTCCACCTGCCCAAAGATAGATGGTCACGGGACTGACTGCAATCATAGAGGCGGGCAAAACATTCTCTGATCCCATTGTTCTCCCTTTTCTAGGCCTATGATTGATATGACTAATAAGCGAAGCATGGTTTGGACGAAAGTGGGGCAAGAAAAGGATAACTAGCATGACTGCATGTTAAAGTATCAGAGTGTACGCGTGATGCAGAGTAAAGATAAGATTTCACATGCAAGAAGTGTGTAGATTTCATGTGCTTGTGTTGGTGTGCCACCTGTGATTGAGTTGCTGCACTCCTTTCCTTGCACATATTGATGAAACTGGGCGAGAGAGGGAGAGACAGAAATGAAAAAGAGGGGGAGGCGTCTGTAATAAATGACAATTGAGAGAAATAGCTATTATACATTTCTATTTATTATATAAATATATATGGCGAAAAAAAATTAATATATAAATATATCATTATGCTATAGTATATATTATAGTATTCATTTAGTTATAATTCAATAAATATATATTATATATATATCTATATGCTTTACTTACCTATAGATAAATAAATAAATATGAATGTATAATGAAAGCGAAATCTAATATTATATATATAGAATATATTATCATATATTCTATTGAATTATAACTAAATGAATATTATTATATATACTATAAAATAATTTTATATTTATATTTCGCCATTTATATCTTATCATTTGACAAGAGTCTTTCACCTAATGTATTTCAATTTGGTGGCAAGTCTCCTCCTGAACCCGGTCGCACTCATCCAATAGCATATGGAAGGATGATTATGTATGCGAAGAAAAGTTGGGTTTCGAGGAGTCTTTTGGTTTACCATTGTTGAGCACACTTTGCTTTCGAGTCAAGATTTTTGGTAAATTGATTTGAAGGTTGATCTCACCAAAAGACGAAAGGGGATTTCTCTTGGTGTACAGGAACATTCTTGCTGACAATGTTTACAAAGCAATCTCTCTCGATTCCGGTGAAAACGTGCAAGTAATAGGTCAACGAAACTGATCGGCTTATCCATAAATGCTAAATATATATATCCTATAGTTATGCTCTTTGATGAGGCGTAAAATAATTTATTAGTTCAAGCTATAGGCCAACCTCGAAGCATGTGAGTGTGTATTAATGTGTTTCCTCACAAATCGTTTTGATTCCCCACCTTTTTAGTGGTTCGTCCATCTTTTCTGAGAAAAAGGACTAAGGCGAAGAGAGAAGATGGGAAAAGTTTTCATTATCTCCCCTTACCTATTCATAATTCAGACTGGTATTTTTTATTAACCCACTGCTATTTTTAATCAGATCGAGGGGATTATTGTTCACTAATATTATTAATTTGAGCCGACCCAGCTCATTATCACAATAATCTCTGTCGGCTAATCTTATGCTCAGTATACGCATAGATTTTAAAACACCAACCGGTGTTTTGTATCTATAATTAGCAACGAAATTAAGGATAAAGCCAGTGCATTTTGGCTTCATATGCTTAACTTCTCTCCTACTCTAACACATAAAATATCCAAAAATGATAAATGAATAAATAACGTTCTTTACCACCATTGTCAACGTAACATTGCAATCATTCTGGTTATGAAGGACAAGAAATCATCTCATATGGCAAAGTAATCATCCATATATTTAACTGACATTTTCGGTATCATTCTTACCTCTTTCATGAAGCCTTCCTCCATCCATGACACGTAATTGTTCATTAAAGTGGGAGCCAAACATGATCCCATTGCTAGGCCTTGCACCTGCCCATAAACTTTATCAGTAAAGGTAAAATATGTGCTGCTCATTGATAGATTCGGTAGCTT